TTATAATCTACTGGGCATCCTCCCTCCATTTGGGACATCATTAACGCAAAGTTCACCGCACCCTGCAATCCAATGTTGCAAAAACAAAGATTTTTTTGCATATACTCGAGACAATGAGATTACATATACTGCAATCCAATGTAAACAAGTTTATAATTTTTTCTATACTCGGTCTTTTTCTTCTTTCTTTCTTTCTTTCTTTGATTAGGACATCATATGGATTCTTAGGAGTGCATTAACTTCCAAAGATTAATTCCACTGACCTGAGGATCTGTGCGAAGGATGGTTTGCAGGAGAAAGAGATAGTCAGGCGTGTAACCAACCTAAACCAACAACACAATCAGTATCTTAAGAACAAGAGAATACATCCCAATAGAAGAGAGTACACTAAATTGACCTGCTTCGAGTAAATTAAAATTTTGTCAAACTCCCTCCTTTCAGCAAAGGCAGCAACTACTTTTGGGGTTGCCCTTGCTTTGATGTATATTTTCAGAGCAAGATCATTGTCCACGGTCTGAAATGTAAAAAATTCACCATAAATTCACAAGGCCTAAGTCAATTCCGTAAAGAAAAATAAATTTTTGTTCCATATCAAAGTCAAACCTTCACAAGATCTCCAAGCTCCTCACTGCATTCCAACTTGTCCTCTGCCAGCCAATTCTCCAGAAGATTCTTTTTATTCTGATTCACAACCAGCCGAGAAAGCTCCAAGGACTCATATGCATTCAGCTTCCCTCTAGTCAAAAGCGTGCCAAAGTACTGCAGCAGTGGAGGGGTTTGCCCAGCTTGAACAGGAACACTCTGCAACACGTTTACTCTGACCAATTAGTTCATAGAAGAGTTGTGTATGTCCTCCAAACATGGAAAGAAGAAAACACTCGAAATAATTATGGAGAAGGAAAACCTGAAATTTAGCAACTGTATCAGGTGTCCGGAGTACTCCCTGCGGGGATTCTGCAGCAAGCTCAGCAGCCTCTTTATACTTTGTTTGAGCAAATAGCTCTTGAAAACGTTGGACAACCTAAGACATCAAAGACCAAAGATGAACAGAATTATCGACATGAAAGAAGCGTAAGTCTTTGTCGGGTTTATACATCATAATGTAACAAATATACCATAAACATTAAAGCAGTGAAGCAATGAAGTAAATTCTTGCATTGCGGACAACACATGCTTTTGTAACAGTAGCTGGTTTTACCAACAGCATAGACAGAAACAACTTCTTCAATATTTATGAACATATCTATCAGCTTTTGGTTTTTTTTCTAAACATAGCTTGCTTTTTATCGATTTTCATTCCATGGAAGGTTTATCAGGATTACAATGATCTAAATTGCTTGTCAACTCCAGATATATCCTGTTGGATTGTTTTCTCATGTTCAGCGTTACAAAAGATCATAGATCCCATCCCAATCACAGGCTTCACAGCCATATTACCTGCTCCTCCAACTAAATCAATAATACTGACGATTCAAATAAGGAATTGCATAGTACTTACCAAATTTTCAGCTCCTGGAAGGTTTCCTCTTTTTGCAAGATTGACTGCAAGCTCTAAATTGTTCAGCTGTAACATATTGGAAACAGATTATTACAACAGGCACCCATAGGATTGACATCACACTTTTACCCGAAGAGAAAAGGCAATTATAACTCACTTGGCCACTAACAAAAGGCACTACTGAAGCTTCATTTACTGTTCCCAGGAGGACTTGCCCTCTCCTATTTATTGCATAGAAACCCCCAACTGTCGAGGCTTCGGCAGTTAAAAATATTGGATCTGGACTTATACGATTTCTGTACACAGCAGTAGCTGTCTCCAGATCATACACAAATAGTAGCCCAAGCTTGGTAATGACATATATCAAACCATATTTGTGAGAAATCTGCCACATAACGAATAAACTTCATGAAATATGTCACTGAGACAGAAGGAAAACAAAAGGAACCAGTAATGACTCATGAGCCACAAACCTGCATAGCCACTGGAAAATCGTCCTGAAAATCTGGAGGGAAAAAGAGATCTGCTTGTTTCTTGGTAAAAGATGGTTTTCCTGGAATCAATATCAAGCCACATGTCACAATTATGCAAATAGAATAATTTAAAAAGAATGCAAATTGACGAATATGTTGTCTACCAAACACAAGGAACTCTAGTTTTACATGTTGGTGTATCACTGGTTATTTGCAAAAAGGAACAAGAAAATTTCCAATTCTAATATTTGGCAAACGCCGTCCAAGAGAGCAGTCAGGTAAGGGATGACAAAAGCCACAACCTGGTTGGGCACCAAGCTCAATCACATGCAGCTTTGATGTTATCTGTCCAGCATTAAAACTCTTGGTCGCAAAGGAAATAAGAGTAGAAGGATTGTCATTCCCTGGAACCTGCTCGACCAGCACAAGGAGAGTTTTGTACTCCATTTAAGGTGGTTGACATATAAAACCAGAAAGCAAGAAAGAAACTCCCCAGACCTTAAACTGAGCAAAAGATGCAGCATGAGCTTCAAGGGCTTGACTACGCTGTTGATCCACAGAAAAAAGCTGCATGTTCCCTTTCACCAGTTGTGGCCTCTACAGGGAAATGAGCAAAATTCAAATGTTAGAAAACCAAAACGGCTGGACTAATGAAGAAGATTTAAAGATAAGAAAACAAATATAACTTTCATAATTATGTAAGATACCAGCAATATATAACTGAATACAAAAGTTAATTACCTCAGGTGAACCAGGGGCAATGCCAATCAAGACTAACCACTTTTCCGAGGGATCACACTTGTAGTTTATTATCTGATTGTTTGCCAAGTTTGCTGTCCTATCAAATACCTTAACTGGTGCAGAATCACCTGAGACAAGGAACTAAATTAGGACCAGCAAACCAGAATCTAACATTAAAAGAAAATTCCTGATGCCTTTTTTAGATAGAAATTAACTATACCCTCAATCAACCAATGATATACAGAGGTTTGTGTGACCAAACCCAACATCTTTGGGGTAATCCACTTCCAGAAGACAACCTAGAAATGAATGAAAGCGACTTTAACTTCAATCCACATGCAAAACATAATCTATCACCACCAGGCAAATAATGAGATCCCACCTGCTCAGGCATCTGGTGCGATTTGATTTTTGTTTTTGCCTCAATGTTGAATATTTGTAAATGATCCTGAGTGGTACCCTGAAGTTGAGCTTTAAAGAGACGAAAACAGATAAATATAAGCATAAATGAGATTTGAAATAAGGAAGCTGCAGATATAAAAAAAATATATCATCGCTTATGAGAAGGTTTCCCTCATGCAAGCTACAAATAAAAAGGAGCAATAATAAATTTCTCCTCAAACATGTACAAAAGTCAGCAAAACAACCAAAGTTCACAGAAAAGTTATTTACTACAAGATATTCGACGTCTTTACTATTGCTATCGTAGTCAACAAGTTTCTTACATCATCCAAACTAACTTAATGCAATTTTACTCAAATCTTTCTGCAAACCCAGCACAAAATAAGCAAAAGAACCAAAATCCAGAGTGAATTTACTAATTACAAGATTTTTTTATCTTTAACATCACTATCATAGTCAACATGATTCATACAGCTCCGATATCACTTGATGCAATTCTATTTAAAATCATTTATGTGACTTGAATCAACCACTCAGAACCCTAATTTTCCAAGAACTGAGCAAAGTGAAGAAAGAAAGGGGGAAAATATGGGATTCAACTAACACACCCAGCATAATTTGTAATTATACACACGTATATATATGTGTGTGTGTGTATATATGCTTATTAAACTATTCGAGCAAAGGAAATAGATGAAAAATGAACAGCATGTGTTATTAAACTCTCCAGATTGCTGGTTTTGGATCCATGTTAAGTATTAAAATAAACTGTGAACAAATTCCAAAATTTGCAAGATTAAACAAAATTCGCAATAAGGAACCATAAAGAATAAGAAACATATATTGCATTTAGAAAGAAACTATGCTGCCATTTCCAGACTCTTCTGCAGTCAGGATGGGTTACAGGAATGGCACATATCTTGCATTTAGAAAGATAGATTTAATTTGTGGAGAAGTCAGGATGAGAGCTTTCGAACAACTATCAGTATCAGCTACCAGAAACTCTATCTTATACACCATACCTTTCAGCGCAAGGATCCTTGAGTTGGGATTCATAAGAGCTGAATCTGCAGTGATGGGCCTCCTCAGAGGTTGCATCGGCATATTCATGTCAATGATTACAACACTGTTCTGAGGAGCCGTTTCCCTCACACAAATGTACTTATCCGATTCCATTGTGACATTCGTAAACGTGATAAACTGCTGATTGATCCCAATGCTCGGAAGCTGCAAAACCGCACAGATCACAAGAGACGATCTAAATTCTTCGAGAATCTCAGATCAAAGGAATCTTCTCCACTACAAAAAATAACTAACACAAACTACAGCACAATCTTGTTCTACGCAGATCTGAAAGTTTCAGATCCGAAAAATTATCACGCCGGTCAGATCACTCGTTCGAGGTTCTCGCTGTAGAGAGAAAAGACGATCTTAAACTAGCAGGTGGGTTTCGAACACCATAACGCATAAGTGATTTCTCAATTTTGTCCTATCCAAGCTCGATTACCATAACCAGATTCGTTCAGGACCAGGAAATGAGAGAAAATCAAGTATACGAGGAAGAATAAAAAGAAGAAGCCTACCGTTAGGATTTCTTTCATGGAGATCGGAGCGTTGGCGGCAGCCATGGTGACACCGAGATCAAAGAATCAAGAACCGGTATCAGATCTAAGAGGAAAGAGAAAACGGAGGAAAAAGAGAGGGGCGAGGAAGAAGAAGAAGAAGAAGAAGAAGAAGAAGAGAGGAGAAAAGAAATCCCCAGTCGCTGCAAGATCTGAAGCAGCGATCAGCCCCTTCCAGATTTTGCAGAAGCCAAGAAATCGGAGAGTTTGCAAAAATGAATTTGACGAGAGAGGAAACCAACAAACTTTGACGGAAATCTCACGAATCAAGGAATATTGGGCTTTCATTAGCTTATAATGGGCCTACAGATTCTTGAATACAGCCTAATAAAAAAAATTATTTTTCATTGAGCCTTATTAAAGGCCCAATAAATAAATAAATAGTCATCCGGAGTGTAGACGAACTACCATAATAGAAACGTTGTTTGTGGTGCATTTACATTATAACTCCCTAAAAATAAACCATACGCCAATATATTAGCGTTTTGTGTCCCCAATAATAACACGCTATTTACGTATGTATTTACATAATTATATATATGTAATGCATATGGAATCAAGATTTTAGTAACTACGACCTAATGGATTGAGAAATCATGGAACAAAACGTTGGAGATGAACTATGATGATACTTATATCATCCAAACACCCTCTTTCAGCTGATAGCTCTGCTAGCTTCTTGCATGCTGAAAGAGTCTTCGGATTCTCTAAGCCTACGCACCACGGTCGGACCATATCGACCGCTTCCTGGTTCGTTACCTATGACACGAAAAGGATAAAATATCGATTTCGATCTTCGAATTTGAAATCTGATGCACAAGAACAAAAAAGGGTTTAATTCTGAAAATGTTGGATTGAGATTTTACCTTGTCCCAAAGGCCATCAGATGCTAAGATCAAGAACTCGAGCTCGGGTTTGATGTGTAAGGTTTTGGTCTCGGGTTCGGCTGTTACCCATTGCTTGAGATATCGATCTCCGATTCCTCGTGAGACGGCTAACGTCCCCTGAATTCGCCATACGCCATTGCAGCAGTCCACATAACCACCCTTCACGACCAACAAAGAAACCCAATTCAAGAACAAACCATATATATGGTGCATTGGTGTCCAATAGTGTCGAACCATGAGTAACATTTTCCAAATAACAACAACAACAAATTCCAATTTTTGTTACATTACAATCATATGTATTATGTATATATATAATTCGATCTGTACTGCAATGACCATTTGAATCAACATCACACGGGATGATAAACTCACCAATGCTTCGATCCTCTTCAGCTCGTTTTCGACGGAAGGATGATGGTCGGAAGTGAGAGGCTCGGCCGCTCCATGGCGGCTCACGACCGCTCGGCAGTCACCGGCGTTGGAAACAGCGACTTCGTCGTTAGATATCAAAGCTGTGACGCAGCAAGTGCCTCCTCTCACTCCCTGCTTCAAGAACTCCTCGTCCGTTCTTAGGTATCCTACCCTTATCCCTCTCTCCATCCACCCTTCTTCCCCGTAACATTGCTCTAACCCTTCTTTAATGTTTCTATCCAAATTCATTGCCGCGTATTCGGCTGCCTTGGCTCCTCCATGCCCGTCCAATACACCAAACAATCCCTTTATGTATGTATATACTTATATAAGTGATTAATGCTTGTATAGAACATCTTTTTTTTTTTTTTTTTTGCAGTTCAAGTGAATTCAGCACTCAGATACACAGATCCAGAGCCGTGTTAGAGCAGGTACAAGCGCTGCACAGGACCCCACAACTTAGATGGGCCCACATTTGTTTAAAAAATTGTTATATTTATAATTTACAAGTGATATTTATTACAAATTTAAAATAGCAATTTTTTTAAGTTTTATTTAATTCACTTAAAAAAATAATTTTGACACTTTTTCAAATGAGGTGGATCCTTGTTTTTAAAAAATAAGTTTTTTTTTTATAAATTTATGGTATAAAATTAAAACTTTTTTTCCAACATTGATCATTTGTCATAATAATCAATTAATAAATATTTTTAGTTATATATAATCACCATATATTAAATTCATAAATTATTTATATTTATATCATTAAATTTATTAATTAATATAGTTTATAATTATAATTTTTTTATAAATCTAAAATAAAATCTATATTATTTTAGAATAACATTGATCTTTTAACTCTAATTATTAAAAATTATTTTTTTATATCATATCATTCATTTTAAATATTTGTTTTAAAAAATGATAAATCTTTAAAATATAGTTTTTTACATATTTTAATCATATATTATGATTATTTATTATTTCTAATAATATTATTATTATCACGATTATTGTTATTAATATTTTAATAATATTTATAAAAAAATATATTTAATTTTTTAAAATTAAAATTAAAATAAATAATTTTTTTTCTGGTCCCGAAAATGTTTGGGACGGCTCTGCACAGATCACAAGTCTTATGTCCTATATGGCGTTTATCTATGTAACCTTATAGTGTGGAAATACATGAAATTTAATCTCGGTATGAAGAAAATATATATTTTAAAAGAATTGGGAGTTATGGAAAGTTTATATAAATAATATATTAAATAAATTTTTAAAAGAATTGAGTGAATTTTCAAATTACCTGTATATGTGCACCTTTGGGATCGACCAAAGCGAAATAACGATCTTCCATTGGTCCTCGCTTACCTCTCTTGCAGTAGACCGAGTAACCATCTTCATCCACGGCTATATCCTCCGCTCTCGGCGTCTCCTCCACCGCTTCCGCCGCATTCCATGCAGCCGCCGTCGTAACCGCCGCCCCGACGTCAAGCCTCGGCGGTCTCTTCCTCTTCAGCGAAGTCTCGTGATCAGACACAGACCTGTAGTGCCTCCTTGCCTGACACGTCAGCTCCGGCGTCAACAACAGTCGAGGAGAAGACGGCGAAGTTTTGGCCGCCGCCGTCGGGGAGAAAACCGGCGACTGCGGCGACAAGAACACCGGCGATGTCGGAGCCGTCACTGCTGCAGACATCGCGAAGCTGTCTCTGTGATTTTCCGTCTGAACGATCTCAGGGAATCGGAATCTTGAGAGATGAAAGCAAAAATAGGGATTTTTCTTTTGGTGACTTGGTCACGTCGAGAATGCGATGATGACCGTAGCAGTGAGCGGTGGAGGGAGTTTTATGACTGAAAACGGGTCAACGGTCAACGACGATCATGGATTCATGTCTCTCCCGTGATAATTTTATTCAAACCCTTCTATGACCGAGTCTACAACAAAACTTACCATATTCGCGTAAAATTTAAGTAATTTACCCACAGCTTATTGCATGTTTTTTTTATAAAAATTATCGGATTAATTTTTTAGACCAAATTAAACCTTAATTACTCCTAATGATACATAAAATGGCTGTTTCAAAGGAAAGTAATTGAAGTAGTCTGGTCAAACTTGAATTCGTTGCCATTTATAAAAAAAAACTTGAATGCGTTGCATTCGTTATGGAAGTTGAGTTTTATTTTAATATTGGAATCTCAATTATATAAAGACAATTTAGTATACAATGTGGGTATAACAAATTCGAGAAGGTATAGGTTTAGGACTAGATCATGCACGCATTCGTTATCTGAGGCAGTACTCATGCATAATTTTTTTAATTAAACTCTTAATACCATTTATTTTTCTGGAATGTTATGTGTATTTCGATGGAAATTATATTTTGAGTTGTAAAATTGGATTGTCCCTTTTAAAAGGTTTATCCTATAGGAATACTCTTGTTTTTTTATGGATTAATATAACTATTACTAAAAATTTAATGCTAGTTTTCATAAAAAAAATTATGAAAAAGGAAAATAAAAAAAACTTAGGTTGGTTGTTTTATGAAATTTTGGATAAAACAAACATACAAACTATTTCCTCATTGGGGTCAACGGTCAACGAATCTGAACACACACAAAAGTCGGCGGTTTACGCTTCAATCATGTCCGTTATCATCGACACAAGGGCAACGGTTTCTGTGCTGTGGACCGACAATTCCTTTCAAAATGCATACAGTATACAAGTATAAATTCCTAAACACACGTAATATACACGTAGCGTCTATCCAAATTTACGGCTGAAAAAAAAATTACAATTTCATAATTTTTACCGGAGTAAATTCGACTTGTAATGCGACAAAATATATTGAAGCATTCGTTGGGTAAACACAAACTTGTTCTCATTTGCACCTTTTTTAATTTCATGAAAACCAAACAACAACTTAGCTCCGAAGGAAAATAACCCGTTTGACCCGGCAAGCCATATATATCCACGAGAAGCCACGTCCTTTTTCCATTTATTCACAATATGCATCTGTTTTCATTCTCGACCAAAAATGAAATGTACAAGATAGGTTTGCTGACCATATCAACATTCTCTTTACATTACTTCTTCGCGTAAAAATCGATTCGACAGAGGAATATATATGTATATATGTGTATTAGTGTATATACCATAATCGTCCATAATTAGTCATTATGTCACAAATTGTTGTTAAATATTGACCACGGATCACCTAGCTGTCTAGAGTTCGTAACCAAAATTTTATATATAACAAAAAGAGAAAAACGACCTATCTAAAAAATAAATATAAAAGGCAAATACTAGGCACGGACAATGTGGGAGACACATAATCCACGCGTTGAACAAACAAGGCACTTCCAATTATACGTCAGCGAAAAAGAAAGAACACGTGGCATTCTCAGCACCAAAAACACACGTAATGATCTCCCTTGTTCGGCCACGTCGGACATCCACGTGGCGACACATGCAATACCCGATCTCCGAACACTCCCATGTGACCGTTTCCTCTGCTATAAAGGTTGCTTGGCCTCACCATCGTCGTTACACATCGCTCGTTTCACAGTTGCATATAGCGACAACGCTCTCTTCACACACAGATACACACACATATATCTAGATATAATGGCGACTCAACAAGAGAGACAAGAGCTGGACGAGAGGGCGAGGAAGGGAGAGACTGTCGTCCCCGGCGGCACCGGCGGCAAAAGCCTCGAAGCTCAGGAGCATCTCGCCGAAGGTCTTTCTCTCTATATATGTATCTATATCTATATATGCGTGTGTCTGGCGTATGTTTGTATAATTATACCACGTACATGGCATGATGATGTCATATGAGAGTATATAAATGGTTTTGCTTCGTTTAAAGAACTGGAAATTACTGAGGAGTTCACTCGTTCTTTACGCAGAACGGGAAAAACGAAATGAACAGACAAAACGAGGAGGACTGTATTCTGAATATGCATGTACTTACATATACATGGATATAGGCATGAACGTACGTGCATGTGCGTACGTCCTTTTGGATCCTAGCATAGTGCGCGTGCCCGTGAACATATATATAGCACTTTAAGCATAATGTTGTACGTGAAGGGGGCATAGTTCACCCCAGAGAGAGGGAGAGATCATGTATATATGATTATGTGTATTGATGCATATATATGTGGTGAATTGTTGGGGGGATGATGATTTACCAAGGGAGGAGCCGAGGAGGGCAGACGAGGAAGGAGCAGCTGGGAACGGAGGGGTACCAGGAGATGGGACACAAAGGCGGCCTCAGCACGGGAGACAAGCCCCGTGAGGGCGAGGACGTCGAAATCAGTCCCAAGACCTAACCCTTAAGTTGGATCCACACTCGACGTGTATGAAGCATATATATGTCTTCATGAATAATGTCTTTAATTACGTGGTTTGGGGTCTTTCCTTTGAATGTTCTTGTCTTGTCTTCGTGTACTTATAGTTGCCTTTAAGTCTTTCGTTTTGTATTTCGCAACATCCGATGTAATGTCTTATGAACAAATGATCTTTCAAGAACGGAAGATTCGAGTATAGAGAAATGCAATATTCCCTCAGCAAATAAATGCAATAAACCCCCGATACATGGAATGTAAAGAGGTTCCCTCGTTAAATTTTAAAGCCTTTTTTGACCTTTCAATAAAATTAGAAGTTTTATGTTTTAAATTCATTCACTCTCTTGGATTCCAAGAGAATTTATAAATTATAAATTTCTTATAATAAAAAAACTTCTTTTTAACATTTTGTTATATATTTACGTTGTTCTTGACCTTCGACCAAAGTATCGAAAATTGAATTATATGGATGAGATACGTTCGTCGATCTTTAGAGTCTATATTTTATTCAATCGCCGATTTTTATATTCGTTTTTTCAAAAACCCGATCTTAAAATTTTATATCTTTAGAGGCTATATTTTATGCTTAAAAATTATTGAATTCATAAATTTGGTGAAAATTAAGAGGAATATTTTATGCACAATTGATAAATCATTTTGGAATATTTTACAGCCCCCCCCCCCCCATCAATGGATAAGAAAAACAAAGTGTTAAGTCCCTCTAAGATCTACCCCTCTAATATATGAATCATCAAAAGTGGAAAAATATAATAACATTTCACCGTTACAACCCCAGAAGAGTAAGAAGAAAAACTTACAAAGGGGGTGACGAGCGTGAAATGATACCAGCGTAGAGGAACTCGTTCCATGTGTCGGGCAAGCCCGGGAGACACCAGTGGATGCAGTCTGCGTAGGTTGTCGGAACTGTCGACCCCATCAATGGATAAGAAAAACAAAGTGTTAAGTCCCTCTAAGATCTACCCCTCTAATATATGAATCATCAAAAGTGGAAAAATATAATAACATTTCACCGTTACAACCCCAGAAGAGTAAGAAGAAAAACTTACAAAGGGGGTGACGAGCGTGAAATGATACCAGCGTAGAGGAACTCGTTCCATGTGTCGGGCAAGCCCGGGAGACACCAGTGGATGCAGTCTGCGTAGGTTGTCGGATCGGCCTGTTGCTCCGCCGTCAGCATCTTCCCTTGCCGGATGGTGTAAACCGAAGTGTGTGCGTCTTTCCTGTATTCGGAGAGTCTAGTGATGTTCAGGAAGCGAACCGGGACCTTGAGAGAATGCGTGACGTTTTTCGCTACGGCAAACAGCCTGTAGTCCGTCCCCACGCTAAACGGCATCGACATGTTTAGAATCGGTCTGGTCTCTAACGCACACTTTATACCGTCTGGGTTCTCCCAATCCAAGCTCCTGCAAAATCAATACCATCTCGTTACATTTTATATGAAAGAGGAAATAGAATATCGAAGAGGTGGTTATATGCGGTGGTTTACCAACTAATTTGTTTCAATGGTTTAATCATATTATATAATTGTATACATTGAAAACATAATTATAACATGTTAGTTGCAATTATGATGGTGATTAAGAAAAGATTACGAGGGAGAGAGGAAAGAGTAAGTGTACTTGATATGGAGAGGAGACATGCTGCTGAAGAAGACAGTGGTGTGGTTAGGGTCAATGTTTTGGTCAACCCAGTCTCCCCAAGTCTTCAACACCCTCCCGTACGCTGTCGGCCGTTCGATCTCTTCGTACTCCGTGTCCCCGTTATCGAACGATCCTCGTCTACGTGATTACAACGTATTGCACAGTTACTACGTACGTATGTACATGCATGTACGCATGCATATATGTGTAATGGGTATGCTTATATATGAGCTCATGCATATGGATAGTGCGTACGTGTGTGTATATGTACTTACAGGACTTTCATAGAGAAAGTGTTCATCCACCATATGTAGGTGTTGAAGACCAAAAAGTCAACGCCTCTCCAGTTGACTCCATGCTTTTGGATCGACTCCGGCATTATTATACGGTTCAAGATGCTGTGCATGTTCGGATCATCCGAATTCGACTCTACCAAAAATGGTGCCCAGTAGAACTCCACCGTCGCATTATAATCCTTTTTTTCTCCACAATTTTAAAAAATATTTTTTCAGAAGATAGAATTTTAAATAATTATTTCTTTAGTGGAACAAATATTATATTACACATTTGCCAATATCCTCAATTTCAACAAATTTACAGAGAGAGAGAGAGAGGAACCTCGACTTTGAAGATGGAGAGAGAACCGGTCTTGTTCAAGGTCTTCCGGCCAGGAGGAATCACAGATTGGACCAAACAGACCATTGATTCCCACTGGTTTCTGTTGAGGGAATCCCCCACGAACATCAGTCTCTTGTTCCTCAGCTTCTCCAGCAACAATCTCGCTTTGAACCTTCCCCCAAGACACAACACAGATGGGAACAAGAAGATGAAAAACTCTATCAGATCCGGGATACTAACAGACGAATTTAAAATCCAATGGGTTTGATTTTACTTTGGCAAAGAACAGTCTCTGGGCTGCCATCTCCAGTTCTGATACAGAGAATCTTTTCTCCCATTTCTCATGCACGTCACTTGCGCCGTAAGAAACTCGCACTGATCCTCTTCGTACAACGGATGAGTCTCGTTGTCGAACACCCATTCTCCGGTGAAGAGATCGCAATCCTCCGGCGGAATCTCCACGTCTCCGTCGTCTTCTTTCTCCGGAACCACCGCCATCTCTATCTTCTTATCCTCCTCCTCTTCGTCTTCCTTAACATCCTCGGTTTTCTCTTTCTCTCTCGACGTCATAATCTTCGTTTCGTCGGTGTTCCTGACAGATTCCTGAGCTGGATCTTCGTTTTTCGCCGATTCTTGATCTGGGTTTGCGTTCTTGATCGATTCTTGATCAACCAGGATCGTCTCCTTCGGTCTCTCCTGGACATCGGTGGGTTTAGAGCTCGAGAACGGGAAATCGGCTATGGATTTCACGTCCTCGTTGTACATAAAAACACCGAAGAGGAACATAGAGAAGACGACAACGAAGATCGAGAGATTACTGTTCTTCCTCTGCTTCATTCCAGCCGCTGTGTCGAACAGTGGGACTTTTCTTCTTGAAGGTTGCATCTGAAACAGAGGAAACTTTCCACAGCTTTTTTAATATCTATACGCGTGAAGGATATAATGAGAAAGGAGAATCGATGGTAATATAAGAGAATCGAAAACAAGACCGGAAGGGGAAAAAATCGATAATACGAATTAGGTTTCGTATTATTGATGATGTAATTAGTTTATGTTATTGTTTGTTTTGTTTGGTGAGATGTGTTTTTCTTGAACTGGTCTCTCTTGGTGGAGAAAGAAACATAAGTTGTTATATACTCTCTATCGTTTTCTCCTTTTTTTAAATGCTCATTTAAAATAAAATATTTCTTCTTCCAACCCATTTTGCTTAACTAATCTTATTTGTGGCTGCTAAATAATAATAAAGTTAGAATAGAAAGATAAGAGTGGGTTCAAATATATATATATACAGTTTGGCCAAATGCTCGGCCAAGAGATCATTTTTTTTTTCAAAAAAAAATTAAACTACAATTTTGTGTATATGTTGGTTCTAGATATCCAAAAAAGTCTTGAGTTTTATAAAAACAAATTAAAGTTATTTTCTAATTAAAAAAATTTTACAGTGATTTTATAGTTTATAATAAATACAAAATAAAAAATTTTATAGGTGAGGAGTTTTCCAGTGTTGTGATTAAACAACTTGACATCGCTTAATTAATAATTTAAGCATGGATTAGCACCAATTAATTAATTTAGTCTTTCATTTTCACTTAACAACTATGCGTCTACCACACCATGCTCGAGAGGTCGATGCTTTTATGAGACCCTGAAAAAAACCTTGACAATTTGATAAATGACTTTAGAAACTTTATGTTTTAGAAAAGTAAAGACTAAGGAATCTCATGTGATATTAATAGTAATAATCCCGCCAACCATCCTTCTATATTTTCCCCTTATTTTCTTTTTATTGATTTAATTTTTTTTTTGGTTGGATCGTGTGCACTTTGTTTCAATCCATTTCCTCTTGGACGTTGGTTCGGTATTTGAATCATTGCTTTTAACCCAAGCCAAAGGATCTATACGCACAATATATATACGATTATTTATTTTATTTCACGTGAGGTTCTCCACGTGTGTAATGATTGCTCTTGCATTATATATATATATATATGCACACGCATTTGTGTAAACCTTTATCTAATTAGTTTTGAAAGGTTACTATATTAAATCTTGATCTTTTACTTTGAACTATTTTATATCCGAATTGTAAGCAATTAAGGCGTACCCGAAAAGATATATGCGACAAACTTTTACATTAATTTTACAAGATAATAGGAATATTCACTAGTTTATATAGTTGTAGGTTTAAAATATGTTAGTGTTTGATATGAGGTTTTTGAAGTTCAATGTTTTTTTTTCACTTTAATAAAAAAAATAGTAGGATTTAATACGAGTTCCAATGTTTATTCACTAACGTTTCATGGGACTACTCACATGTTGTTTACTCGTAGTTTATAAAGGATACCTAAATTCAACTGTATAAAATGTATATGCAAGATATTTTGCAAGAGAGCTTTAGGTTTGGTGGAGATATATAATTGAAATGTATAGTTTCAACATTAAAAACTTAAATAAAAATACCGAGAGAACATTTTTTTTACGAGTTCTCTCGATGATTTAATGATTATTTTTAATCAATAATTATAGTATTTTCAGTCCATTTAGTGCTTTCTTGAAATATTGAAGAAAATTAAGAGTTTAAATTGATATATCTCCTTGGGGTTAGAACCAACTCATATCCAAGTCTTCAAGTCTTCGTCTAAACATTACAATTCCAAAATGTTCAATTGGGCTTATGCGGCCCACTTAAATTATTCAGCCCAATGGAGGACGGATTTTGTAATTGGTTTTCTCGTATTTACATTTTCACCCCTCAAAATCCCATATATTTCTCAAAATACCAAACATTTAAATTGGAGAAGAGAACACCCCAATTTACATTACGCGCACTTGTGTCGGAACTTGAAAGACATGACAAGAGCCAATATGAATGAACTGAACTCTATATTATTATCAGCTTTCTCACTAAGTTTCCTTCATAGCACCCCTACTTGTCCTTTCTTCTTCTGATTCATCTTTCTATGGCATCTAACTACAAACCTTACGCTAAATCAAAGAATAAATGTGCAGAATCTGTCCGAAGAATCCATAGCCGTTTGCCTAAGCCACGATCTGTTCTTGCTCTATGTACATTTGCTCCGCCCACCACCGAAGCTTCTCCCGAGCCGCCACAGCGGCATTTCCAGCATGCCCGACTCTTCCGTTCATACCAAAGGCTCCCCCCTCCGGTGCACTGTCTTTCACCAGGGAGTTAACCCACGACACGTCTGGCTCGTCCCTGTAGTCTCTGATGCCAAAGGAGATGCTCCGTCTCAGCTTGTTCAGCTCATCTCCTTGCGTCATTCCCCACTCGAGCTTTCCGCTCAGGGATCTCCAGCCCGAGAGGTCTGACGACGAGGGGGCAGTGGCTGCTGCTGCAGAAGACGGTTTGAAGCTCAGGCTGCGTTTCACAAAGGCAGAGGATCTCGAGTTCATCACCGCTGCTGCAACAGCTGCGGATGATGACTCGAATCCTGGGGCGGGTTTCTGCGCTTTCCTGGCTGGTGACGAAGAATATGGATAGTAGTTCATGTTTTGGCTTGGAGACTGCAACTGTGATGGTGTCGAAGAAGAGGATAAGCTCTGCAATGGAGGACCCAGGGAAGAAGAATCGAACCCCATTTGGCCATTCTGGTTATCCAAACCAAGAAGCCTCATTTCCATCTCCATATCCAAATCTCGGGCATTCAAAGCAGATTTCAACCTACTACCGGAGAGCTGCAAAGCTGGAGGAGTAACGTTAACGTTAAGGTTGTTAACCCTATTCTGCCACAACCCTCCGTTCCTTGGAGACGAAGAAACACTCGAGGAATATGATAGAGCCGATGAACTGAGGGTCAGGGGGGACATAACCGACATCTCTGTGCTGCTAACTGGAGATTGAGAACAGTTGGACCTTGGAGAAACCATGGCTGAACCAGTGGATGCATTAACAGGACGCACCTCCTCGGGTTTGTGTGCAAAGAAACAAACTTTCCTCGCACAGCCCGTTTCATCTTTGCAAAGCCTGGTTCTGTACTGTGCTGGGTGAAGCCATGACTCGAAAATACCATGGGCGTACTCACAGGAATCTCCCTTTGGACAAGACCCTTTGCGAAACTCGGGACATGGAACACATGTGTAAGGGTACTTCCTCAGGTCCCTCCTCCTCGCATTTTCGCCCGGATGGACAAACGGGCACTCGGTCCAATCATGGGAATAAGCCCTGGAGCAAGGCTTAACCTTGAAACTGTACATCCTAAACTCATCCGTTCCATATATCCCTTCGTTGATATCCGGAAGAGATGCATCGGCTGGATATTTAGTCGTATGATTGGCCAAACCCTTGTGTTCTCCTCCATCTTTCTCTTGGTTAAGGACATGATCAACCAAACTAGCCGAGCCAAGACCACCATTCAGCAACAATTCCACCGCCTTTCTGTTCCGGGCGGAGACAAATCTTGAAAACCGAGCAATAAGGTCCACGGGCTTATTCCCATTAGCATCAACGCTGAAAGACAGAGCAGAAGCATCAAGCAAGAGCTTGATGACCTCAACAACAGACCAAGCACAGCCTGCAACAGCACAATGAAGGGCAGTGACCCTTTCTTCACCGCAAACTCTGTTCACGTTGGCTTTACCCGTGGAGATGATATACTTTAGAACCTCTGTGCTGCCATACATGGCAGCTACCATGAGAGGGGTCCTCTCTTCAAACCCCATCTTCTTGGACCCGACCCTTCTGCAATACCAGAAGCTTGGCTCGTCCACATCGAGACCTTTACTTTCAACCTCTCTCCGGAACGCTGCAAGATCATCACAGGCTGCAAATTCGAGCAAACTCGAACTGCAACGTATGGTTTCCTCTTTCTGCCTCCTGAATTCGCCTTCCATTTGGGGATTCGAAGAGCACAAGTTTGCTCTTTGAGCCGCTGCACGCTCCGGGCAAGTCCTGCGGATTCAAGGACGACAGAGAAAATCTTAGGGGCTGATTCGGAGTAGACGAAAAAAACGCAAGAAATATATGTTTGGTTGATGAGAAACTGCGAGAAAACAGCAACCCCAACAGACTCTAACAAATACGAGAGGGTTCCCGAATTTAAAAACAATGAAAACGTAATCGAACTCAGATTCCAAGTTTTCCTCCCATTAATTTACCATTTCTAACATTCCGATGCCTCAATTTAAGCCAATATGAACAAGTAGTCGATATTTGTACCCTACTACAAGTAAGACAGGTCAAATAACAAGCGAAGAACCAGGAAATTTCCGAAATTTCAGTTCAAGAAATCGAAAACCCACCAACCCAAAACCCTCGAAAATCAATAATCTAACTAGAAATACCCAAAACTTCAAACCAAATCAACACCACGGAACCAGAGCGAAATTACCCAACACGAGAAGAAAGGTGAGGAAACAAAGAATTATAAAAAAAAACAATTACCTAGAAAAAGCTTGCAGCGAGAGAGATACACAAATCGAAAGTTGGAGACTTTTTTTAGGATGAATTTGCTCTGAGGATCAGATGAAGTAGAAGGAGAGAGTGGGGGTCGTAAGAAATAGCAGCGAGAGACGAAGGCTCCTTTAAAGGAGGGTGCTTCGCCGCGAAGAAGAAAGGAAGCAACATTGTTTATTTCGTCTCTCTTTCCTTAGTCAAAAAACCAAATTCAAAGATGAAGCCGTCGCTGTTCTGCTGACTGTCTGCCATGCTGATAATATGTTTTAAAAAAAAATTCATATTTTCCATCAAAACACATTAAAAAACCCATTATTTTTTTTTGTTAAAGAAAAAAACCCATTATTTTAACAAAAGGAAATATCTTTTATTTTGATAAAAAAGCAGCTAGCTTTCTTGGGACAAAAATAACAGTTCCAGTCCCAATATATTTATTTGTTTATTACCTCGTGAGTTGGTTTGTATTGAGACTATGATTTTAAAATCCAAGGAACAAGGTTTTTTTTTTTATAAAGGAAACATCATATTCCTCGTGTAAATTTGGCTTTCTTTTATGATATTAGAGTAAAGTAAAATATACAGATGATAAACCCATATGCGTATTAAGAAAAAAAATGATGATGGAATAGGCATATAAGATACTGAACAAGTGTAAGAAAGTTTGTAAAATGATCGTATAAATAAGCGTGAATTCTCCAAAAATATATAAGTTTCTCAACATTATATTCCACAATGCTATATTCTTTATTTTCAATTTTGCATGGATGAAAAAAATCAATATACCACGACCAAATCAATTAGAATCAAAATAAATAAAACTGATTCGAATAAAAATTTATTTGATATAATTTATTTTATTATAAATTTAATTAAATTTAAACTTATAATCAAAATAGAGAAATATTTTAATTTAAACTCAATATATATTATTTGAAAATAAATCAAATATACTCACTCCTCTAATGATGCGAGTGAGGAACACGCGCTATGTGAAAGGCATGAACGCGTGATAAAAAAGTGACAATGATTGTATCTGTCTTTTACTTCGCCACCCGCTTTCCCTTTTCCCCAACTCCTTATTTATCAATTTTCTCCTCCTTTCTCTTTATAAAATATACAAAAAAAAAAAACAATATAATCATCACAATATTCAATTATCGTTTCTCTTTTATTTATTTTGTTATTTTATATTTGGTCCACACAAAACATGTTGGACTTAGTCTATGCTTTTTTTTATGGATGGGTTGACCTCCATGGTTTAAACTGTGCATTTTCTTGGAAACCCACTAGCAATTACATTAGGATATGTTTGGTCACTGAGAAATTATTTGACTTATCCCTAATCTCATAGCTAGTAAACGAGGAAGAATAAATTGTTATGATTTCAGTAATATATTTTTCTTTTTCTTTTTATTTTTGTGTTGGCCAGCCGGTATATAGTATATCTATAATCTTAAATAAAATTTTATTATAATAAAATGGCGCAAAATGAATTATATGCAAGAGATAAACCGCATGAAATATTTAGGTTTAAAAGATGCAGAGTTATAAATATTTTAATATTTTAAGATATTCTTTAAAATGGAGAAGACATAGTTTAAATAACAAAAATTTATTATTTTGTATACATCTAAAAAAAATGTGTGGAAACATTGTGGAATTGATGTTGCAAATTTTATAATGCTATATTGTATCTTATTGGGCTATGACAAATAATTGGGCTTGGTCTAGTTGGCCCAATAATTCTGTGAATTAAAATGAAGTTGCCTCCACTTGGTTTATTGTAGATCCAAAGTCATAAGCTTGTTAACTTATTCTCATTAGGGCTGAAATATTTTTTTTTGTACAAATGATTTTAAATATATATATAAGACATTTATGTTCTTATTTGGGCCTGGCAGTGGCACTCCCATTTTATACATCTATCTTCTTATTCTAATTAATTTTTTAAACGTCATTTAAAAAAGCAAATTAATTATATATGCAGTCAAACAACAAAATTTACACAAAATGATTATACAAAAAAAAGGAACACCCCATCAACAATTGCATGATACACACAAAAAAAAAAAAAAAGCTTCGGCCAAAACAGAGGACCTTACTCTACCTTATATTATACATCCAAACAATAAGAACACGTGTTTTTTTTTTTTTTTTTTTGCAGTTTCCCCCAACCTTCCTCCTCTTATAGCTCACACGATCTTACATGGAAGAAGTCCATTTACCTGGTCGAGATCACGACCAATGACTCTTACAACAGAAGTAGAAGTGATCTCGCCGTACCTTTCTCGAGCTTCCATGAATGCTCTGCTTATTACTCTCTCCACCAAATCTTTGCAGACATCTTTACTGTCCGAGAAATAAACAGTTGCGATCAAACGTTCCATTATTTTCGGGTCTATCTCTATCGAGCAATCACATTTCACTCTCTTCTTCAGCGTCTCTATGATGTCCTTCTCGATTCTTTCCGCTAAGCCATCAAAATCGAAGGGCTTGAATGGAACGGTCACGACTCGGGTCTCACTCGTGAAGGTTTCTTCTAACCAGAGCTTGGCGTTCTTGTCAGATGGAACTGTTTCCGGATTTTCGGTATCTTGGGCTGGAACGTTCAGATCAAGAACTCCGGTTGTCGCCCTGTGAGATCGTTTCGTTGTCTCTGAAATCTCGCTTCTCTCTTGAGTTTTGTCGAAACCCGTAAGCTTCCTCTTGTTCATCGAGCTCGGGCTGGAAATGCATCTCAGATATTGTAACGTGGAAGCGATTTCGACCGATACCTCCACTTTTCTTACCTTGGCTTCCAAGATTCTGTCCTCTGAATAACAGAGAGAAGAACCCTTTGTTGTTCCAGAATGTTCTGACGACGACGAAGTTGCCACGAACGTTGTGTTTCCTATGCCAACTTCTCTCCCGTGCGAATCCTTAAACTTCCCAGACTGAACGGCCATTGACAAGCTCCTTTGAAGCTGTTCATCTGCCCTGTCTAAATTCTCGAGAAAGACTACACAGAAGGGATTCTTACACAACCCTTCAAAGACATAATCAACCATTGTCCTGCCCCTCAACCTCACCTCATCGCCGAGATCAATGCCCATGAATCTTTTTTCGCTCTGATACATTATCTCGGCAACTGCAAGCGCGATTCTGTGCTTGCCCACGGGATCAGGCCCGACAAAATGAAACCACAAGTCTCTTCTCATGCCGACATTATGCTGGTGTGCCATTGAACTGCTGATAACCCTAGCAGCCTCGTTTTGCCAAGAAACTCTCTCGGTTAACTTTCTGAAAATTATCTTGAAACTCTCTGTAGTAAAATCTCTCTCGGATAATGAGGGTCGGGACTGAGAAAGATCTTTGTCGTGACTTGTCTCGACTTGATTTTCACTCATGTGCTTCTTAACCTCGTTTCCAGAGGCGACGGAACATATTCCAAGGTTCAGATCAATGGCGACCGAATTATCTGAACCGGTTGAGACAGAAACACTGCTCCCAGACCTGAGGACACTGCCCGAGTCAAGCCCTTCTTTGGTCTGCACTGAGGAGATATAAACACACGTTCAAATTAACTTCACCATAAGCGATATATCGATTGAAGTCAAACCCGAGCGAGAAAACTTGTCATCCAAGAAACATGATCAAAAGATGAACCATATAGAAATTCTTGCATGCGATTTATCATATAATTGTTATCTAGACCTCGGTTTCGGTTAGGATCTGAGAAAATGGATGCTTATGTAAGAGAGAAAGATACGGACCTTCGAGCCAGATTCTTGGTTTAAATCGATCCCTGTCGTGGTCATCTGTAACCAAGGTGGCAAAGTAGATTGGTGCTGATCAGATACCGGTTTGGTATTTGGTAAACCAGCTATTTCGTTCTTCTGATTCCGGTTTTGTGCGTAACCGGAGAAGGGTAATTTCAATTCAGAAGGGCTTGAGAAGAATCCACCAAACGGAACAAATGACCCCATCAAACTGCAGCCAATTTCATCGCATGAGAATCCAAGACTAATAATTATGCATCTATACTCACGCATATACATACAGTAATACACGTATACACGGCATAATCAGAGAATACAAGTTTATGAAGGAATCTATAAGTCAGAATTAGAGATCTTCCGCTATAATATTAAATATTAAATTTGTGACTTTTATAATACATCACATCTTGAAACTAAGGGGAAAAAAAGCAGTTTAAGTTCAATAAACAATTAAGCAAAAAAGAATTAGTAGCAGACTCAAGATCCTAACTTTTAAAAAATTTCAAGATTGTGAAAATCATTCGTTTCTCTTCTCCACCGACAGCCATAAATTTCCAAAATAGTTGTACAAAATTTACAATGTTTTTTATATTTATTAATTTCGCCCAGAACTAGAAGGGAAAGATTCTGTCGTAAGGAAGCGTTTGGCGATACGCAGTAGCGGATTCGCGTTTGCGATTGCGTTCTTGAGAGAGAAGAGAGAAAATTACCTGGACTTGGGGAAAGATTTGTCAGCCAAACAAGGCCTAAGAGAAGTGATGGTGAGTACCTGCAGATCCCAATCCTTCTCCACACCTTGAAACCTCCTCACGAACTTATAGTAAACCTCGTCGCTTGTCGCCGCTCCGATCAGCCAAACTCTCCGACCATGTCTCTGCAACAACTCCGACACTCTTCCCACGATGTAATAAGCCGCCGCCGACTCGCCGTTGCTATCCGTGAACGCCCTCAGATCCCCGTAGTTCAGGATCAACCCTGGCCCCGAGCTGTCCTCCACGAGCTTGCCCAATTCCTGAAACCTCTTGTCCACGTATGTCTTGTCGAACTTTCCCGATATTTGTCCGGAAATGTCGTTTCCGATGTTAATCGCGCTTAATCCGTTGAGCTCCGACGGCAGGATCCCGTCGGTTCGCTTTCCCATAGAATGTAAGAAGTCAGTGAGAGCACCGTACGCTGATAAACCCACCAGCAGGGGATTCCTCCCCGTCCCCCTCGCTAGGACAGCCCCAATTCTCCGATGAATCGCGTCCTCGTCGAACAAACCGCCGAAATTCCGGTACGGGATGGTGAAGCTCCGTCGGACCGGGTGGAGAACCGACCCGGAGCCCGGATCCGGATCCTCCGCGACGTTGCAGAGGAACAGCGGAGGCCCATGAGAGTGAGGATACCGGAGAACGTGAGGGACCGGTCGGATAATCGAGAGCTTCAACTCGGAGCTCCGAAAACCCGCTTCGCCGAAGACCCGACTCACAACCGGGTCATCGAGAATCGACAGAATCAGCTGACGAAGCTCCACTTTGACGCAGGAGAGCGCGCTCTGGTTCTGCTGCTGAGACATCTCGTGGTAGAGACGGAAATTCTCTGGCAGTCTCCGTTGATGGGCCTGAGAGCGCTTGATCGCCGCCATGAGAGAGTTTGAGACGGGTGGGTCGTCTGATCTGGACCCGGATCCGGATTGACCCGACTGGATTCGGTCGAGGGAAACCATGAGGCAGAGGTCGAGGGCTCGAAACTGGAGACGGGGAGAGTAAGCGGAGTTGCGGGCGCGAGAGCAGGCGTCGCGGAGGAGAGAGGAGGAAGGGAGAGAGAGGAAGGCGGAGACGGCGTGAAGCGACGTCGTTTGGGTGTGGCCTCGCTTTCGCGCCACGACCACAGCCTCATCGAGCGCCTGAGCCGCCTCCTCCGTCAGGCATTGCCTCGCTACACTCACCGGCGTCGGCATCGCCGCCGGAGAAAATATGTATGAGACCGACAACACAGAAATTTTTTAATCGGATAAAAGCAAATAAAAGGGAAAACCTTAAAAGAAATGAGAGTCAGGTAATTTATTTTACCACTTTTAGTTTTTTTTTTAATTTATTTTTGGTGCGTGAAAACTGATGTGGGAAAATAAATTTATTTAACGCTTAGGCACACACTGTTATGACCCACATTTGAGTGGGTCCCACTGGCGAAGGCGGGCCCCGCTCAACATAAGAGAGTGAGGCTTTGGACGCCAACAGGTGTTGGATTTGGATACGGAGATTCTTGTTGCTTTGTCTTTTTAGATCTTTTTTTTTCATACGTTGTCGTGTCAAGTCTAATTATTGATTTATATTTTACACAAAAAATTCTCTCTTTTAATTTAATTTTACTGTGAATTATGTAATTAAGAAAAAAACAAGATATACAAAATTATTTAGTTTTAAAATATTTTTCAATATAACGAATTATTATTTGATATTGGTTATTGTATGATTTCTCCACATCTAATATATTGTTTTCTCGTCGCATAAATCCGATATGAAGCTTACAGCTAGAAATGCATATAATTATGAAAAAATAAAAATGACTAAATCGAATTATTATTAGTCAACCATTAATTAGATTCGTCTTTAAACACAATGAATGCTGTAAGTCCACTCATTTCTTCTGCCCATTGTTTTTATAATAATCTTCCCTTCAACCTTCGATAATTTACAAATCCATAACTTAGTGGACAAAATATCGAAAATATTATTTTTCTACTAAAACTATTTCTTCACGAACTTCTTCTCTGCGGTTAGAATAACTATATAGTCATATGATGATCATATTAGTCATAATATTAAATTTTTTATGATTTCACTAAGTGGTGATTAGTGTAATATGTAAGATGTGACCATAATAATTTAGTATAATCACTATAAATTTAAAATTATGATCAATATAATTATCACGTGACAATACAGTTATTCTGGTATCTATAATAGTTCAGAAAAAGAGTATTTTAGATAATATAACTGTAGTAACGTTTCTCGAAACGTGTCTCCTCACTTATTTGACCTAACAATAATAATCATGAGGTTCTAAATATAATATGCCCAAATTGTTATTTTTTTAATAAAATGAAAACTTAATGGATTGGACCGTTCGTGATGATATTTTTTGTTTTATTTGACTTTTCGTAATTCATGGGATCGCTTCGGTAACATTAAACATAAGTTCGTGAGCTTTAAAATGTAATTCAAGATAAAATATTTAAATGACAGGATCTAGAGAAGTTAGAGTTTAATAAGTATAATAAAATTATATAAATAATATTTAGGAATTAAAAAACTTAATATAATAAATTTAAAAGTGGATAGAGGCTAAAAAAATTAATAAATAAATTTATATGATAAAGAGATATAGTTGGACTAAGAAAAAAACAGGACCGTTTATAATATAATATAAAATTATTTTTAGAAAAATGCGAGCGAGTTAAATTTCGGGTGAGAACAAAAATTATATCAGATAATAAAAAGCAAAATATATGTAAATTTGGTATAAATGAATATATATATATATATAGTCTGATAAATGAATCTTATTAAATATTTTATAATTTTACATGTGTCAGAATCATAAATCGTAATAAAAACGACATTACAAATAATTTTAAAAAATGAGGAATTTTTGGGAAATTAATTAGCGTAACAAAAGACTTCACAAACGATCACGATAGAAAGGAAGAGTGTAACGTCGACCTCACAAAGAAAAAAAAGGTCGCTTTGCATGGAAAAGGTTGAAAGAGACGACATGAGAAGGAACCCTAATTCTTCACCACAGACTTCTCCTTCATATTTTCCGTCACTTTCTCTTTCTTTTTCTTATTTATTTATTTTCCCTCCACGGGTTCCGGAAGAGTCTAAGATATTTCTTTTTCATCTTATTATAAATTATAACTATATGCGACTCATGGTTACCTAAACGTTATAACTTCAATCGAATTACTAAAATATTTTATATATATATATATATATAATATTTTACACGTCATAATTTTTCGTTGAGGTCGAAACATGTAAAAAATTCGAAGATCTTGTTTCTTAACCAATATAGATGTTTGGATATTTTTTTATCGTATAAGTAGAATTCGAAAATAAAATAACCATTAAATTAATAATTTTTTGGATGACAATAATGATAATAATAATAAATTAATTAACTAAAATGATAATAGGATAATTATTCATTTTGGACAAAATTAGGTATACCATTTGATATCCATCAACAAATATTCATTCTAGTAGGAAAGATAAATTACTTCCAACATATGCCGTGAAAGGAATTTAAAATTTTATACGCACCCAAAAGATTACTAACCCGTTTTAAAATTATATTTTTTATCGTTAAGCGAATTGTCTATAAATTTTTGAATTTTGAATATCCTCATTTTAAAATGGAATCTAATTCCGGTTGAATATCTCCAAAAGTATCTGAAGAGGCAGAGGCGTCCCAATGGCGAATGAGAGGGTAAGCTCCTTTTTTTTTTTAGACTTGTATGCAAAAAGAATCACATTTTCAGAACGAGAGAGAGAGAGAGAGAGAGAGAGAGATTTTCAATAAAAGCGAGAGGTTGGCTCTTTAGGGAACCAAAAAATTATACGATTTTTCTGTTTGACGTTTTCCAACCTTACACTAAAAGTAAAACAATAATAAAAAAGTTTTTTTTTTCTCAACATAAAAAGGCTTGCTTTGAGATGATATATATATATATTTATTTATGTACATCTCTCCTCTTCTATTGAGAATCGAATATAAGAGTACTAAAGGGTGAGATGGAATTTTAATAGAAAAGAAAGCTTTAATATTCTCGTGAAAAATATTATGGTGGAATTTTAGTTACAAGGAAAACTTAAAAGGGGAAGGCAAAGTTGTGAAAAATATTATGTAAGACTGATTTTCAAATTGCTAAAGTCAAATATAAAAGAAAGATTCCACATGGTTGGTTGATTCTATTTTTCAAGGGAGGCACAAAAGGATCCATATAGAGGGATGAAATTTCTAATTTGTATATACACACACACACCATAATACAAAGGATGAAATTTTCGCATGTTTTGTATGAAATAAAAAAGTTGATCAAACGTAATAGGAGTTCCGAGTCATCGGTTCGTAACTTTTTATTTGTTTATTTATTAAAATTATATATTGAATTATTTATGTATTTAATTTGTTTTGATTAAGTTTTATTATTATTCAATTTATATTTGGGTATTTGTAGAAAATAGTTATTAAAATTATATTTGTATTTAATATTTATTTTTCTAATTAATCCTTAGAAACCCGGTTTACCTTTTGGTTCGAACAATCCGGTTACCACGTGAAGATAATTATTGCCAAGAGATTGGAATAGAAATATTTGGGAAATACAGAGCGAGAAAAATATATTTTCAGATTTTTTAGCAGCAAGAACTTCTTGGAATCCTAATAATTTAATATGAATAATGGGTTAATATGTTTAGGTAAACCTCTACGAAATTTAGAAAATACTTGCTAATTAGTGACGTTATGGGTTACGATGAGATTCAGAAGAATATATATCATTGGTTTTTAGTCCTTCAAAAAAAAAAAAACAAATTCTCTTGTCCGAAATAAGGATTGATTGAACATAAATAATTTTATAAAATTGGAAAAAAAATACACAATGAATGGTATGGACCCGTTTTCAAATCGAGTGTGATGTGAAACGAATTCCTTTTTGAGGTTTTGTCCTGTTTCTGTGTGTTGGTGTGTTTGATGATTTTAGAATCTCTGATTAGTCCATTAAACATTGATTAATCCATGTGTTAATCCGTGATTATATGCATCACATCAAATGTCTCATGTTCTTTAATCACAATTAGAGCCACCTTAAATTACACAAACCTTATTTACCATTAAATCCGGCGTCAAATGCCCTATATGCTTTTATCTCGAACGGTCAAAACAAAACAAAAATATTCATTGCAAATAGTTATTTTTATTGTTGTTTAAGACTTCAATATTTAAGTTTGAACCTTTTTTTCTTCAATTGGAGTTCGTTTTACATATTTTACTTTCATTTTTTTCTTATTTCAAAAACTGCCTTGATTTTTTTTGACAATTATTTATTTGGTATTTCTATTAGCAAACATAATTTAAAAGCGAAAATTTGTCTTTAATGATGTACTCTTTAATCACCAATTGCATAGGGAAAATTCCATTTTAACATAGCAATATTCAATAAAACTATTGAAAGAAAGGATGATAATTCGTAATAAAGAAACACAATAACTATAAAAAATCGAAATAAAAAAAAAGAAGATGACATTTGAAAAGTGGAGATTTGATAGGTCAGTCCACAAGGGGAATGGGTAGGGTTGGGGGTGGGGGGCAATGTGGGATTGACATTAGATGAAAAGAAATGATGAAGTTTCCATTATGTATTTGATTTTTTTTTGTTTACATAATTACATATATAATATTTTTAAATTAAAATTATCTCATTGGTCTTAGTGTCCAATACAAGATGCACTAATCGCCCAAAAGACTGAAAAATTCGTAAAGCACCATCAAACGGGAAGATATGCTTGTCCCTCGAGAGGGTATAGCGACGTGACTTCACTCTTCCTTTTGCTTTTCCATTCTTGATTTGTAATTATAATCTTTTATTAATATATTTTCATTTTCATAAACATTAGATATGTTTTAGATTGTAGGAGTTGTAGTCAAAGTATTTTTTGAATGAATACACAAATTGATATATTATGTAAAATCACCATCTCTTGTTCAAATAGTTGATTATTGGTTTATTTTCATTTATTGCAGTTTTCTGTTTTTTAAATATATATATATAAACATGAATTTAGTGTTTCGTTCTAATCAAGTTTTAGAGATCACAATTCACACATCAATCTGCGTATATATACACGTATATGTATATGCCACTAATAGAGAGAGAGAGAGAGAGAGAGAGGGGACAAGACGGCAATATCAAAGGCCAAAACCCACTTGCCCAAGAACAAGAGAAGTTCGTCAATCAAAGATTATGATGAATAATTTCATGTGCTTATATGTGTTGCGTTTGTGTCAATGACGACCCAAAAATCTCCCCCATCACTTTTATTTTATTTTATTTTTTGTTGCGATATGGGAGAGGTCCACTACCTCTCCACCACTTATCGGCATCTTTACCTTTTTCCCATTTTTGGTACATTTTGGTTCCTCCTCTCCTTTTTTTTTTTTTCATTTTTAGAAAATTATTTGATCATTGTTTATTTTTGTAATGGGATGTATCACTCGATCTACAAACGGTCCAATTGGTTTGGACTGCTTCGAGTACTTGCCAAATACCGGTCGGAGTTGTCATGATTTAAGCATTCGTATATCTGACGTGGTGTTTGTATGGTTTTTCGTAGATAAATTTTACCCGTTTCATTAAAAAATAAATAAATAAATAAATAATAATATGCAACGAAATTATAAAATACATAGAAAATATTCAAAAATATCAGCATCATATTACGTTTATTAAAATTTTAAATAAATTTTAACTTTCTTTAACTCTTCCAATTAAAATAATGAAAAAATGAGAATGAGAATAACTGATATATATATATATATATATAATATAATATAATGTTTAACTATTTTATAATCTAATAAAGTTATATATATATATATATATATATAATAGATTTCCTTTTTTCACAACCATCCAAAACTATGATAAAAGGCATTATTTTCGATTGTGAAAAATGAAGTGATACGATTCATTCGTGAAAAGGTGGAGGCTGCTGTAAACCATTGTTTATTAGATTTATCAGAAAACTCTCGGAGCTACGTCATAATTTATATATCGTATAAATATAATATAAATATTCGGTAATAAACATGGAAACAATTATTTAAAAAGTTGTATTTATCAAAACAAAATAAAAAAATATGTTTTTTTTTGTGAAGCAAAAAAATATATGTTAGATGGTATATACTATACAGATTTAGAATTTATGTAGATGTCTCTTAAAATTTTCATTTATGTTTAATATTAAAAATTTTCTCTAGACCAGATATGTTGTGGAAGGGGATAACATCCCCGAGTACATTGTGGTGTGGTGACAGACAATTCTAACGGACACAACGGTCCATTAAGCTTTTAAATTTTTAAATCGTTAATGGGCCCAAAAGCCCAACAGCCCGCAACAAAACCATCTTGAGCAGTTTAAATTTTAAATTTCAGAGCAACGAAACCCACGCCAAAGCCCATCCCAGAAATCATCTCCAAGAAATTTGTTGGCGAAATTTCTAGCTGTACATTTCGGATTCGATATTTGTTGGATTATTTTTTATTTCGAATATTTCATTTTTTTTTATATATTTTGTAATTTCTTTTATATTCCATTTAATTTTATATCAAACTCAAATAGCCACCTCAACTTCCGACCATGGCTGAAAATATGGGATGGGCCTGCCTCAACTTCCGAGATGCTAATTTGTTGAAGGCCCATTTATCTAATATTACGGCCCATTTAAAATCCCAATTCAGTGGCAAATTAAGCTCAATGACAATTATATACAACTTGTATATATGTATGTATGTATGTATGTATGTATGTATGTATGTACCAAGGGGACAAACAAAAGAAAGGAATCTTGGATACGGAATCGATTATAATTAATTGGAAAGCAAGATGATTTAGCTTAAGATTGAAACGTTAATATAATATTTGAATCAAATCCAAATCTATTAATGTATGATTTAGGTTTAAAAAGCCCAATCTGACATTAAATATAAAAAAAATGAAACGCTAAATCAGGGAAAAATTAAAGTAGAGAGAGAGAGGCAATTATTGCAAAAGCAGGGAGATAAAGGATGGTAAATTATGCAATTTATACACTTTTAAAACTGTGGTCACATGGAAAAGCTGATTTATGTCACACGGTTTGCTTTCCATCCACAGAAACAACATTATTGTCCTTGCTGGAATAATAATAATAATAATAATAATAATAATAATAATAATAATAATAATAATAATAATAGGGCCATATAATTTACGGGTTTCTCAAGTTCTTATTTTTAGTTTTTTTTTTAAAAATTTCGACTAATGTGTGAGTTAAGAGATTTAGGGACTCGTATGCTGTATAAAAGGTTTATCCTATAAAAAATAAAGTATCAGTTGTTTCATTAATTTTGAAGATTATAATAAATATCTTAATTTCATTTTTGTTATTTTCATTATTATTAGTTACTGTACTAGTGACCCTAGATTAGTAAAAGTGAATTTTGTACAGATTTAACGTACTACCATGATTAACCCACCCACCGCATGGACATCATACCAAACCAAACCCCAAAAAAGAAAAAAAAATCAGGAATTTTTTGTTGTTAATTTCATTTTTCAGTCAGCTTAAAAAATGAAATATTTGACTGTAATGAAATGACTGTTGGCATCCGAATGTTCTTGTTCAACGTGTTAAATATATACACTTCAGGAATATCTTTGATTTAAAGCAAATTAATTATGATTAATTCTCTTCTGTTTAATTATTTAGAAATTAGAACAAGAGACGGACGTTCCCGGAACCTAATTACCAAAAATATTTAATCCATTGAATATTTTAAAGTATTTTTTTTCTGTGTTGATTGAATTCCGACTCACAAAATTCAAGGGAAAATATATTAAATATAAATCCGATACAATAGAATGCAATCCAATAAACCAAACTAAATAAAATGGAATCTAAATCGATTTATACGATTTCATGTTTTCTATAATTAAATAAAACCCAAATTCCAACATCCAACCCTAAATGTTTGCTATCCTCTACCGAACCTAGTGGGAGAAATTACATTAACTTTGATAATAAACTATTGATAATTTATAATTAAAAGGGTTATATATCAAGAAGTCCGTCGGCACTTATATATACATATATATTATATACGTTCACGTATATATGCAAGCACAAAATGAATTGGATTATACAAAATAATATTTGGATCCCATTGCTTAAGGATGCTTCAAAAAGTATAATGCCTTTGAAAACAATCCAAACAACATAACGTCCCATCGAATACTCTTTATATTTAAATAAACTAAGGGTATAAGATAATCTAATCTATTATCAACTTCATCGTCATCTTCTATTTATTTCGTGGTATAACAAAAAAAAAAACAGTCTAATCATTTTCCTTCATACAAATAACGTATGCAAATAAAATTTAAGCTCGAGGCACTATTATGAGTGACATTTGTTACCCCCCTTTCTTTTTTATTGTTACACCTTTTAATACGTAAATGGACCATCTTTGAGATTAAATCAATAAAAGCGTGAGGAAGAGAAAAAGTTGACAACTTGACAACTAAAGTTGCCAAATCTATGAAAAAGAAGGAAAAAAAATCCAAGGGGGAAAAAATGAAGACAAAAAAAATAATATATAAGCTGAAATGGTCCAATTTCTTCATCTCTAACAAGCATATTAATTTATTTTTTATTTACTTATTAAAAATTTCTATATCTGAATGTAATCGGACTAAATAGATAACTTCGTCAAAATCACAAATACCAATTAGTTTTGTCGGATTCAATATCTTAAAAATATGATAAGAAAGACGAAGATATTTTAAAACTAATAATCAATAGGGAATTATTTCATATTTAAAGATAAATGTTATTGCCTAAAATTTTTATTCGACTTTGGATTCGATTTGTCCACTCCGACTATTATATAGATACACACACAAAAAGTCAAATGTATTAAAAATACGAGACTACCACCATTGTACACGTGGCACGATTAAAACAAGCCACGTGTATATGACGGAAAAAACACACTCGTGAACCTGACCGAACATGAAAAACCTTTGAGAATTTTTACAAAATCTGGTAAGACAAGACATCGCACCATGTCCGTTATCGTTAGCTTCGGTCTCACAGCAACTACAGGAGGAGAAGAAGAGGAAGAAGAAGACCCGAGGTAGAGAGAGGAAGTACAGATTGATTGAGAGAGAGAGCGACACCTAACCAGAGAAACCGACAGAGCATGCGAAACCTGAGGCGATCATCATGGGTTTTATCACTCGATTCACATGATTTCGCCTCTCTCTTCTCTCTTGTCCGTCTCTCTCGTAGTGTGAGCTCTCATCACGGCCATGGCGGCGATTCCGGAGGATGTGGAAGCGGTGTTGGAGTTTCTGCGGAAGAACGGCTTCGCGGAGGCGGAGAATGCTCTGAGACAGGATATCAACGAGAGAAACCAACTGGGCACTTTCGATTTCGAGAAGTTTCTGTTCCCGATGCCTCCTCCGGTGAAGATTCCGCCGATTTTCCGGCCACCGGATTCCGCCGGAGACTCTGGGTGTGATGGGTCGAGGTCTGCCGGTGGTGGGTCTTCTTCAGCCGACGAATTCCTCAGCTTGGTTTCTTCTACCAGTGGGTTCTGTTCTTCCGGTAGATTGATCTTTTTCGGGTTCACGAACATTGCAATCAACAAAAACTTGAACAATTTTGCTGATATATAAAAACTTGATCGATTTTTATTTTTGACGAACACCTGATTGATCGAGCTTTGAATGAAAGAACTCTGTTTCGTTTCGGATGTATAGAAAAATTTCTAGGGTTCTGATTTAGTTTCGATTTCAGGCTAATTGCCCCAAGAATCTTCGATCAAATTCACAATCTCAATGCTTTTCCGCTTGCAAATCCTACTGCATTGTGGTCTCACCATGCAAGAATCAAGGTTTCTTGTTCTTGTTCTTGATGCCACGTGTAATCTTGCATATGTGCAGAGTTTGTAAACCCATATGGAGAAGGTTCTTCATCAGGGGCCGGATCCGACGCTTCATCTGACAGGCTGTCTCAGTTCGACACGGCTCGAACATACACAGAATGGAACGAGTTCTATTGCCACGACGAAGACAACAAGGAAGAAGACGAGTTCATGTCTCCCGCATTCAGAGAATCCGATTTCTTCATCTGTCTTTCGGAGGACAAGTTCATCATGTCCTCAGAGACCGATAACCAGTTCGAGAACACTCGAGGAGGAGTGTACGATAAATCCGAAGGGTCTCAGACAGAAGCCAGTTTGGATTGTCTAGACAAGCCATGTCTTCTCAACATGTTGTGCAATAGCGAGAACGAAGATACTGAGGAGGCTGACGAGAAAGGATACGATGTTTTGGATAAATGTAAAGAGCCTGAAAGAGGGTACTTTGATGAAGATCCATTGGGGTATTGTTATGAAGACTCACAGGGGAAAGACGTTAACGAGATATTCGATCAGGCGAAAGGGATTCTTGATTACGAAAATGGCGATGATATGAAGGCCGAGACACAGGAAGAGGCTGAGGTTACTGATGAGCTTCTTATGTCCCGTGACTGCGAAGATGAATACGAAGTGTTTGATCTACGAATCATTCACCGGAAAAACAGGTCTGATCGGAGATAGTCTTAGTCTATTTGCTTATGCCTCTATGTTACCCTGCGGTCGTGTCATTTTCAGGACGGGTTTTGAAGAGAACAAGGATCTACCGATTGTGCTAAACACGGTCATAGGAGGTAGATACTATGTTACCGAGTATCTTGGATCCGCCGCCTTCAGCAAGGTTGTCCAGGCGCATGATCTCCGGAACGGGATCGACGTCTGCCTGAAGATAATCAAGAACGACAAAGATTTCTTCGATCAGAGTCTTGACGAGATTAAGCTCTTAAAGTACGTCAACAAACACGATCCATCCGATAAACACCATATTCTGCGTCTCTACGACTATTTCTATCACCAGGTGACGTTCATTTCGGGGAAATTGTTCTATATATCTCTTGGTTATCTTTTCATCTCAAAGAGTTTCCGGTCTCGAAAACATTCGCAGGAACATCTGTTTATCGTCTGCGAACTCCTCCGAGCAAATTTGTATGAATACCAAAAATTCAACCAGGAATCGGGAGGGGAACCGTACTTCAACATGCGCAGACTGCAGGTTCGGTTCTTTAATCTTGAGTACAAAGCATTCCAGATCCAACCAAGAATCAAGATTCATTGTTTGTAATTACAGCCGATGTTTTTGCATTCGGACAGTATATAACCCGACAATGTTTGGACGCGCTGGTGTACCTACATGGGCTGGGAATCATACATTGCGATCTAAAACCCGAAAACATACTGATAAAGAGTTACAGGAGATGCGAGATAAAGATCATAGATCTCGGGAGCAGTTGCTTCAGACACGACAACTTGTGTCTGTACGTGCAGTCGCGTTCCTACAGAGCTCCTGAAGTGATTCTTGGCCTTCCCTACGACGAAAAGATCGACCTTTGGTCTCTGGGCTGCATCTTAGCCGAGCTCTGCTCTGGCGAGGTAGAGTCATTCTCCTCCTGTCTTTAACCCGCGGCTCATGTGACCCGTTAACAACGTGGCGGTGGTTCGATAGGTTTTGTTTCCGAATGAAGATGTGGCGACGATATTGGCTCGGATGGTTGGGATCCTGGGACCAATAGATGTGGAGATGCTGGAGAAAGGGCAAGATACGTACAAATACTTCACGAGAGAGTATGATCTCTACCATGTAAACGAGGTAGGTACACAGGGCACTAAATGTTGAGTATCCGTCTTAATCAGTGAGCCGGATATCCGAAATTTTGGGTATCCCGAGGCGAGTGAGAGAGAGGGTAAGCGAGGCGAAACGTGGCTAGGAGAGATCAGAGTTATGGCTCGCCGTCTCGCCTTGCCCTCTCGCATTTGCTCCCGCAGGCCGGATATTCGCGGGTACCTGAATCTTCGCCACACCCCGCAACTTCGGGTGCCCAACTCGTACGAACCGAATTTGGATAATCCAACCGAAAATAACCGTTGTTTTGGTACTTGTGGCAGGAGAGCGATGACATAGAGTACATAATACCAGAGGAGTTGGCGTTGGAGGACCGGTTACAGGATTCGGACACTTTGTTCGTCGACTTTTTGAGGAAGTTGTTAGAGATCAACCCTCTCCGGCGTCCCTCTGCTTCTCACGCTCTCACTCATCCTTGGCTCTCCCTTTCTCTCTGATTTTTTTTTTTATTTATTTAACGATCGTGTGTGTGTATTTCTTCTTAAATTGTTTTTATTTTATTTTTTCTATTATGATATTTTTCCCTTTTTTCGTGTATAGACTGTTAAATGGACTTCTGCACGTTTTTGTACATTGCATACTTGTGCGTTGGAAAAAAAAAAGAATGAGCATAAGATTTTTTTTTTTAATAAAAAAAACAATTGTTGCATAATATACTTTCACAATTGATATAACAATTAGCGGAATTGAAACTATTACAAGCCAGGATTACAATTATTTTGAATAAGACAAAGCTAATGGGAAAATGTCGACAATTAACCGTGCGTTTGTGTAACCTCAACTCTCTTATTTTTCTTGTTTTTTTTTTATCAAATCAGTAAGTTCACCTGGGCCGAAGGCCCAATCTACATCTCCCTGGGCTCGGGAGCAGCCTTTGAACACATAGTCTTTGGCTATGCCTCTCCCTCCCGCACGCCTGGATTCGAACCCCTGACCTGGAGGAGGAACACCCTCACTTCCAGGTACCACTCGACCACAGACATGTGGGTTTATTTTTCTTGTTACTTGGTATATGGGAATAATTTCAATTTACAAACTCGGATTCAACGATTAATCGGGTAATCACGATCACTCTGGTGATTGCAGTATCAAAGTGAAACAATTGATTCGATTATGATCCTTAATATTTAACATGATTCATGTGATTATTAAGATATTTTGATTCTATCATTTAGCGTTACAATTATGGCATAACATGTCTGCTTTTAGTCTTTGTTATTTAACATTACAATATACAGATAACCAATTAAAAAACAAAAAAGGAACAGGGAAGAACATGTTCCATATATAGCTTCCCTTTTGTTTTGGATTTCTGTTATTAGTTTAACAATGTAATAATATGAGATTATCAATGTCCTAATCTTATGTAGCAGCCATCATTACTCTCGCTAATCATACATTCCCTCCTCCCCCCACATGTCCTCATTAATCTAAACCCCATTGATTAATTCTTTTAATCTTTCCCCCCCGTTTTCAAATTTCAAGGGTTTATATTCGTCGCTGCTTTTGCACACATTTTAAGTGCTGTCATGTTTTTATTTATTTAAAAATATTATCTGCAAGTCATATTTCTTTGTCCGGCCGGTCGTGTTTTGTTGTGAGAACTGGGGCCTTTTGAGCTGTACTTGGGAGACTTTGAAGTTCTCGCATCAATAAGCTTTGATTTGTCGTCGACTTCTATTAGCAACCTTTTTATTTTAGCTAAACTACTCCCATGAAATTTGTGTATTTATAATCATTTTCCTATTTCGTGCTTCATTCTTTTTTTTTTTAAACTAATATAAAAACACAACATGGACACACTAATTAGTGGTTTATTGGCTAATTAGACGGTGATAAATTTATTGAAATTGAAAAATGAATATGTGATTGAATGAAATATTGATTTTAAGATATGATTAGAAATAATAATGGACACAATATTATTTCAAATATTGTTTATCGATCTTATTTATTTCTATATTTTTTTATTTCGTCTGATAGTTTTCCTATAAATATGTGAGTCATTTTCATTATAATCGACAAAAAGAAGATATGTAGTAATAAAAGTAATTTATTTTTATTTTTATATATTTGTCTTATTTATTTTCCGTAATTATTTTTTCTACAAAAATCACTATAAAGTTGTGAGTTAAATTCCATTATTGGAAAGAATTAGATACCATTAATTAATTAATTACGTGAGTAAAAGTTGATTGCTGACCAAAAAATTAAGTGGATTGAAAGTTTAAACGAATCTATTGGTTATAAAAAAATGATGGAGATTCCATAATCATTTAATTCAAAGCACCAAATCAAAGTAATTTACCACTAAGCTATGTATTGTAAAATTTCATAAATTTCTTGTATTGCTAATTTAATTATTTAATGATTGGAGGGGAACGACTTTATATGACGAAGCCATTGTCATAAGAAAGAAAATGGTATAGAAGCTTTGAAAAATAGCATTTTATGGGTTTTTTTTATATATATAAATTTGATCACGAGAAGGAACAAAGGTGGGGGTTTGAGATTCGTATTATTATTTTATGGGGTCGGACCAATCGATGCACCGCAACCCATTTATTATATAATAAGCACATGAAATTTATGAAAGATTTTATTACTTTGCACGATTATACAACAAAGTCTCGGAGTGAGTATAGTGAGTTTGTCGTGGCCTATTTTTTTCCATGTCACCGATGAAAGATTATTCAAATGTCAGACCGTTTTTACAATTTTGAAGTTACAATTTACGTAATCAGTTATTTATAAAAAAAAAGTTAATTCATTTTCTAAATTTTTTTAATTAGTTTGATATTAGATTAAAATTTAATTTAATTATTTTTAAATCCAATATCTCCCATTGATTTTGAAATTTGATTCGATTAGTCTAAATTGGGATGACTTGAATGTGTATCACTTTTACAAGATGTGGGTTTAGTTGTGAAATTAAAACGATAGTTACCGGCATGCCTACATTCAAACTACATTTTACATTTCAGTTTGGTATACACATGGCATGGGTAGATAGATGAAAATAAAATAAATTTTCTAATATATATATATATATAATAACTAAGAATCATATAATAATTTTTTTTATTTGGTTACTATAGTTGTTACCATTTCAGGGGCAAAAGCGGAATAATGGGTGTGCATGAAATTTTCCAAATTTGGCTGCAACTTTGACTGGAATTGTTTTTAATTAATTTATATTTTCCCAATTGGAAAAAAAGGGCAGCAGAAGAAAATAGAAAAGACGACCAATTCGTCATACTCTTTTCTCCCGTCATTTTTGTTTCAACTTTATTTTGATATATCATTCTGCTTATAAAATCCTATAATTACGTGATTCGAATATATCATATTAACATTTTTGAAATTTCCAATTTTATTCTTATGCTTTTGACAAGTCATTAAATACGATATAAGTTATTGTTAAGTTGTTTTTGCCATAATCTAAATAACTTAAAATAGCTAGAAAACTTTGTATATATTATTTTGTTATGGCAATGGTATTCCGTATTTTTTAAAATTTTCAGTACAGTGGTTTGAATTTTTCAACTCATGTGATTATGAGCATAAGTTGGTTAATTATTTATTACCCGAAAGTTTTTTTACTGTCAAATTTAACTAAAATACTAAAAATTAACGGATAGCTACACACAATATCAATCGGTTACAAAATAGCTATAATTGTAAGTCTGTACCAAATTAATAATAATAATAATCAATATTACTCTTTCAACGTTTCATTACAAATAGCGCTTTTGGTCAAATACGGCCAACTATTCAATAAATGTTGTTATGCAGTATAGTCTGCTTTTTCTATCCCCAATTACATTTTTTTTTTCATTTCAAATTTCAAATTCCTGTAATCAAATACAAAGTCTATATAAGATTCAAGGATACAGTTTTAATTCTTTCAGATTTCCTCAATCTCATCTATATGCCATAATATATTTATGGAAAAACCAATATTACATAATAAGAATGTAATTTCAGAACTAGACTGACCATTAATATTTTTCGGAAAGTTTGAAAATTCAATTGATGTCAATTGGGAAAATAACATATATCCAGGCTCACCAATTCGGAAAATCAACCACATCTTTTATTTGAAAAAACGCCGCCGAGAAATAAATTTTAAATTAAACTATTGAAAAACTCACTATCCCTCATTAATCGGAATATTTTTTACTATAATATTCTAAGTATTATAATTTATATTGAGTCCCTCGAGGGCTGCGCACATATATATGTATAGCATATTTTATATCTAAAACATATATTTAGTATAAAAGGAAAACCGTTATTATACAACACCTACTATATTTTTCGGTAATTATAATATTTATATATGATGAGTTTATTTTTCGATTTATATACGAAACGTCTATATTTATTTATTAATTATGGGAAATAATAAATCGAGGCCTAACATATTTAAACGCATCTCTCAAGCCTTCTACATAATTACTGTTTTCTGTCTTGAAACCCCCCTCTCTCTCTCTGTCTCGGGTCCTGAAGATGAACCGACCCGACCCGGAATCAACTCCGACGTCAGTCATACCAAATCTCTGCAGATGACGATGAATTTTCTCTTTTCCACCGTGACGGCCGCCGTCTCCATCGCCGTAGCTGTCGTCATCATCTTCTCTCCGTCTCCGGCCGCCGCCTTGGGTTCGGGCTCCACCTTCGCCGTCGTTTACGGCTCCGACACGGTATGCGCTCTGGTCGCCGGCGAGCCCACCCAGAGAATCATCTGCTACGACACGCGCCGACGCGATAACGTCACTCTGGATCCTGGTGTCTCGTTCTCCTCCATCGCCGCTGGCGAGAGCTCCCTCTGTGGCATCCGCTCCGGCGGCTATAGCCTCCTCTGCTGGGACAACATCGTTCGTTACGGCTTTACCCGCAAGCGAATCTACCAGAGCAACGCCGTTTTGCTGGACACCCTCGCCGTCGGCGATCGCCAGGTTTGCGCCACCGTGAACGGTACCGGTTCTGTGAAATGCTGGAGAGAACAGTCGTCGCGCGGTGGTGAATCGCTTCCGGAGAACGAAGGATTCCGGTCGGTTTCGTCTGGGGTCGGATTTTCTTGCGGCGTCTCGATTCGGAACAGCCGAATCCGTTGCTGGGGAAGCGACCCGATTTCGGGTCGGATCCAAAATGGCTTTGGTAACATGTCGATGTTGAGCTTTTCGGCTGGTGAATCACATGCTTGTGGGTTGAATTCAACTGGGCATTTGATTTGCATCGGAAACAACGATTCTGGGCAGCTAAATTTCACTTCGAATCGAGCTTTCGAGTATTCCGGGCTGGCTCTCGGATCCGATTTTACTTGCGCGACCCGGAGACCAAACGACTCGGTCGTCTGCTGGGGAGGAGGATCACAGCGTTTCAACAATGTGACGGAGCAAGTCTCGTTCGTGTCAGTATCGTCCGGGTCGGGTCTCGTTTGCGGGTTGGTAACGGCTAATCTCTCTATCATGTGTTGGAACCCTTCGAATTTCTCTAGATTTTTTCTTCCTTTCCCCGAAATTTTGCCTGGTCCTTGTGTGGAATCGTCGAGTTGCGTTTGCGGTGTGTACCCTCAGTCCGACAGGCTCTGCTTCGGTTCCAGTTCGATTTGCAGTCCTTGTCCCATTCCTTCTCCGGCGGTTCCTCTGCCGCCGCTTCCATCGGCTCCATCGCCGGTGTCTCATCGGTCAAAGGCCCTGACGAACGGCTTGTTAGCCTTCGCGATTGTGGGATCGATAGGTACGTTTATAGGGATCTGCACTGTGGTTTACTGTTTATGGACAGGGATTTGCTTCGGGAAGAAGAAAGTGCATAACTCAGTTCAACCCACAATCACTCGTGGTGGTTCACAGGGGCGCCAGCCGGTCTAACAGCTCGCCGCCATCTCGATCCTTGACCATAAGACGACAAGGTTCAAGAATGCTGTCCATGAGGAGACAGAGAAGTGGAACATCATCGAAACATGCGGATAAGGCCGAAGAGTTTACGTTTTCCGAGCTCGCTGCTGCCACTGGAAACTTCTCTCTGGAGAACAAGATCGGTTCGGGCAGCTTCGGGGTGGTTTACAAAGGAAAATTATCAGACGGGAGAGAAGTGGCAATCAAACGTGGAGAGATAAGCGCGAAAGCGAAGAAGTTCCAGGAGAAAGAATCCGCCTTTGATTCAGAGATAGCCTTTTTGTCGAGGCTTCATCACAAGCATTTGGTAAGGCTTGTTGGGTACTGCGAAGAAAGGGAAGAGAGACTTCTGGTTTACGATTACATGAAGAATGGTGCCCTCTATGATCATCTCCACCATAAAGAAAACGTCGAGAAACATAGCAGTTTGATCAATTCGTGGAAAATTCGGATCAGAATCGCGTTAGATGCAGCCAGAGGAATCGAGTATCTTCACAACTATGCTGTCCCGCCAATAATCCACAGAGACATCAAGTCCTCGAACATTTTGCTCGATGCGGATTGGACAGCAAGAGTTTCGGATTTCGGATTATCAATGATGGGTCCAGATTCTGGAAAGGAAAACCGTCCGATGAAAGCTGCGGGAACCGTGGGATACATCGATCCGGAGTATTACAGTCTCAACGTTTTGACCGACAAGAGCGACGTGTATGGCCTCGGTGTCGTGTTACTGGAACTTATAACCGGGAAAAGAGCGATTTTCAAGAACGGTAATGGAGAAGAGGGGAATTCTCCGATCCATCTGGTGGATTTCGCGGTGCCAGCGATTGCGAAAGACGAACTGGGTCGGGTCCTGGACCCGAGGATCACGACTCCAGAGCTCGGGGAAGCCGAGGCGGTGGAGCTCGTGGCCTATACGGCGATGCATTGCGTGAATACGGAGGGGAGAAACCGGCCGACGATGACTGATATTGTGGCCAATTTGGAGAGGGCGTTGGATTTATGTGGAGATAGTCATGGGAGTATCTCTAGTGGCATTGTCTCTATTGTTTCCGAATGAAGAAAATTCAAAATTTTTGCATAGAAAGATTCAATTTTTTTTTCTCAAGTTTAAATCTTTTTTTTTTTTGGAGGGTTTGACTGATTGTTGGTGTAAAGATGAGGGCATAGGAGGAGGAATATTCAACATTCGTCGTCTAACATTAGTTGGAGAATTTGTGCATGTACTTTTCAAGAAAGTGAATAGCGAATCATTGAAAATTGGAATCCTATTTTTCCGACCGTATTATACGGAACATGGACAACTCCATATCACATCTACGTGTGCATTGGTTTGTACATACACTTTGTATATACACATATATGCGTGCATGGGTGTATGGCATGTATATACACGCGCATATTCGGTCGGTATTGAAGGAATTCAAAAATATAACCGGATGAAACTTTTTCACATATTAATATCAAAAGAAAAACTTGGATACTTTTAAATAACTCTAAGCATGTAACTAAATGAAACCATGACCTAAATTGATGTCACATTTTCATTCGCTCATCGTGTAAACTTACATTCAGGTTCGTGTATGTATGTATGTATGTATGTATGTATGTATGTATGTATGTATGTATGTATGTATGTATGTGAAAATGTAAGGAAAGACATCACATGGTGACATTGACTAAGAAAGGCATTACTTGGTTCGGGGCATGTGCCTATCAATGATACTGTCCAGGTTATGATACATTATCCTCATATTTATTTATTTATTTCTATAGGGTTATAAGACCCCTAACAATTTATAGAAGATTCGTCGGACAACCTCGGACCCATCTTGTTTTTCCATGAGTGTGGTCCAATCCAATTCATCGTATTCTTCCATTCTATTTGTCATGCTGGATATATTAATTATTATTATTATATTAGTTTGGTTTGCATTATTTTATGGGGAAGGCAAATGGAAAAGATATTAAAACAAGTAAAAGGACATTTAAAATACTTATGAGATTTTTATTTATATACAAATTTATAAAATTTTAAATATTTATTTTTGACATTAAATCTCTCCAAAATTTGAGGTCTTTTTTATGATCTGATAATTTAGAATTTCTAACACGTCCAAATGGAGAGAGAGAAACAGCAGTCTCCCTCCCACTACCCTCGCTACCTATTCTTCAGCATATGGATTTATTGTTGTAATTGAGGGCAGTTGGATTATTTGCAGATTATATTTTAATTTAAAATCTCATGCATTAAGTCTTTCCATAGGGTGGGTGAAAAACTCTTCAAGTACTGTAAATATGCAAGTAAATAATACATATGTACATGTCGATTCTTATCAGTACAAAATAATTTGCACAAAATAAAATATGATAATCTAATAACTTTTTATATATAAGGAAATAGAGTTACGTATGCTCCAAATTATCAATTTAATATTGGAAGTAAAAAAGAAAAAAGAAAAGAAAAAGAAAGGAAGAAGACTACAAGAGAGAAAGAAGAAATGGTCCTACACGGAAACACATGGCCGTATTACGTACTACATTTGTTCTTTCTTTGACCCTCTTTCTGCGCATCTTATATATATATATGTATAGCATATGTATATATAGGTATAGCATATATATATATATATATATATATAAGATTGCATGTATTTCACTCAGTGAACAAGATCTGATAATGAAGTATAACTAAATTCTGAATCAAATCAATTGTATTTTATACACACACTTTAGGAGGGTCGGTCGTAACAACTCATCTGAAATCCGTATATTAAATTGAGCGGTGCCTCTAAATTAAATGACGGTCCGGCGAGAGAAATATACTATCCATACATATAAAAAAGGACGAGGGATAATTAAATTAAATATATTAATTTGGTAATAAATTACTATGGCCACGAGGAAAGGAAACTAAACGTAACACATAAACATAGAAAATAGAAATGGTGGGAGAAACGTGTGTGGTGTGGCGGTGATTTACACACCCTTTTAATTCCATGTATTCTCCTTCTTTACCAAAAAAAAAAAATGAGCCGCGGGTATATTTAAATAAGAAAAAGTATCTCAATAAGATATTAAAATTAGTTTCTAATTAGGGTTTAAACCTTTTTTTGTTTTAGGTTCATTTAACAACGTTATTTTAAAAATAACAATATGAAAATGTATTTTCTATTTTTATTTTCATTTAAAAATAAAAATATAATATTCCGAAATTTATAATAAGAGATAATATGCAAAAGTATATTTGATAATTACAAAGTTTTTAATATTTATTGATTAAAATCTATTTTATTTTCATTTAACAATAAATTTACAATAGAATATTTGGCTATTGTAACTATTATTTAATAATGTAATCCCATAGTTCATAAAAATTAAATACTAATTCAATTGAACAAAAAATTCAACCTAGGAATGATTAATTAAAAAAAAAATTGATATTTGGATATATTCCCATCATCTAACAATAAGATAAAAATCTATATTTTTAATTATGATACGATATGGAAATTAGTATATAATATATTTTTTAATATATTTACAAAGATAAGAGCTTATTTGGTTTTATAGGTAATTAAAATTAAAGTATGATATTTCAAGAAAGTTAAATGGTTATTTTTATCATTTTTCGTTTCAAATTTCTGTAAAATCTTGAAAAACAGATTATATTAAAAATTACTATATGAATTTCCCTTGTCCATGCCTAAAATTCTACTTAATGACGAAAGGAAGTGTATAATAATGAGACTCCTTGCATATTTTTGTACAACATAGTTGGAGGATATAAACAAGAACCGAGGCTCAGGGATCCCCCCCCCAAAGGCCCATAAGGCCCAATAGCCCTTGTGTTATGGGCATTTCGGTTCGGCTCAAAAATATACTCGGATTTTTATTTTTATTTTTTAATCATATTCATGCAATATTTATTTCAAATTAATCGGTTCGAATAGAAATTCAATCAGTAAAAACTATTTCGTTTCAATTCCCTTTTTATACAATCTATTCCTTTTTTCATATAAACGTCAACAATATATATATATATATATATTCTTTTTTTTTCCTCTCTATAAAACTAAATCATTGTATTAGTAACAGACAATACAATCAAACAACATCGACAACAAGAACATCGCATCAAATGCCATATAATCACACAAACGAGTTTAGCGTATCCAAGCTCTTGATGATTTATACACATTGATATTATTTTCAACAAAATATAAAAAAATCTAATTAGGTTTTATGAGATCTATAAAATTAATTTATAAAAAAAAGATCTATAAAACTTAGTTCTTAAATTTATGAAAAATATTGCCATTTAGATAATTTGCCTTTAGTTATTTGTTTTAAGATTTTCTTTAGGTTTTATATCATGCACAATCTAATAATATTGTTTTCCCACGAGTTCTTGAATCAAATTCATTTGGAAATTCACCTAAACATAAGTTCAGTTAAAGTTCAACAACGATACATACATACATACATACATACATACATACATACATACATACATACATACATACATACATACATACATACATACATACATACATACATACATACATACATACATACATACATACATACATACATACATACATACATACATACATACATACATACATACATACATACATACATACATACATACATACATACATACATACATACATACATACATACATACATCAACAGGAAACACTCAACAAGAACGGATCAAAGGCATCATCGGATCACATAAACCAGTAGTACGATACATATATATATAAGCAAGTGCAGATAACAAACTCATTTTCGTAGTATGCACTGGATAGGAAAAAGATCAATAGTTTAGTAGATTTGGTTTAAGGGCTAAAGGTGGCGACGAAACTGATAGGGCCTTTGCCGGTGAATGCAGCTTGGAAGCCGAAGATGAGGAAAGCGATCATGGCAAGGCGAGAGTGCTTGATCTCCGCAAGCTTTAGATTCTCGAGCTTTTCCGGGTCGGATGCCAGTCCCAACGGGTCGAAATACCCGCCCGGATATATCCTCTTCTCGGGGTCGAGCTCTGCGTTACGCTGGAACTCGATATATCCGATCACTAACACCTCTATCCATATCAATGTGGTCAGTGAGAACGGCAATGGTTGCCCTAAGTAGGATGATCCTTCCACCAATTCCACCTATCCATATACAATAATTCCAATCAATTTGTATAATACATATACGATGCTTTCTTTCTTAATGCTAGTGAAATAATGCTCTTATAAACTAGATGTTAATAGATTTAAAACAAAACTTTTTTTTCTATTTAATTTATGCTTCTTGAAATAAAGAAAATAAATATTAACATTTGTAATAGTTCCAAACAATTTGTATGCTACCTATGATTATGATGATACATTGTATTATTTTTTTCTGGTGAAAAGAATGCTATTTTAAGTTTTAACTAGTTCTAGTTTAATTTCGTGTTTTCATGAGGCATTCCGTCAAAACCTGGACCGAATTATTACAAATCAAAACTCTAGCAGTAAAGTTTTGTTTAAGGAAAATATAGGGACTCATTTGCAATTTCCCATCTAAATATCTAAGAACCGACCAATAAGGTTCATCCACGTGGAGGGCGGCGTACCTTTCCCGCGTCTTGCCAGGCAATTCCGGTGAGAGCCTCGACGGCGATGGCGCCGAGAGTTCCCAACATGGCCCACCGGCCATGAATAAGCTCGCATTCCCTGAACCTTTGCAGGCCAAACACCTCCGTGTACGGCTGAAACGGCGTCGGTTTGATCTCCTTGTCCTCTTGGATCACCCCGATGACGTCACCCGCCACGTTCTTCGCCAGATTCTGATCCAAACCGTCGTAGTCGAACTGCAGATACTCCGCCGGTTTACCTAAACCGAAAGGGTCAAACCCCCGGTCCCCGATCATCGAACCGTCCAGCCATTCCGGCGGCGTCGCACCCGGAAACCACAGGAGCCTGTCGCCGGATCCTCCGCCCGTAAACTTTGCCGGTTTCTTCGGCGGCGGAGGAGGTGGGGCGGATTTCTTGCCTATGCCGAAATTGAAACCGAACCGGGCTTGGACACGAGCAGTTCCGGGTCTCGGGTCTTGGATCCGGGTCCCGAAGAAACCGGATGCGGTCGCCGCTGTGGCGG